GTTTTTATTTTAAGTTTTGGAGCTGTAGAATGTGAAATAAAAAAATCATGCTTGGACCCTGACTAGACAGACTCTGAAGAGCAATGAGAAGACAGAGACTGAAATATGCACAAGATGTGCAGGGTGATTCTTATGATGGGACAGTCTTGCTTTTTTGCAAGACTCTTGAGCTAGACTAGGGTGGAATTAGCATGGCAGAAGCAGCATGTGTGTTGCAGTTGGGGTTGTGTGAGAGAGTTAACTATGTATGGGCTTGCAGGTAGAAGTAAGGACAAGAGAATATATATTTGGTGTGATCAGAGCATCTGAAATCCAGAAAATATAGTACACAGAAGTAAAAGAAATAGAAGTAAAAGAAATTAGCATGAAGCAGTAGTAGGCACTAGGTGGGGAATCAGAATATAAAGTAGCCACTACCCAACCAAAGCTAAGGAAGACCAGCAATTAAAAGGAAGGTCCTGATTTGGAACACTGCCTGTCAGAGGATACAGCATAGCAATCTTAGTTTGTCAAGTGGGGTGCGCAAGCAAGCAGAGTGTACAATCCTTTTGCTGTAGAATTTTTGGGATATAAATTAATACATATTTTCTGTTAGAGAAGGCACAGGAAGTTCTTTAAGGAGTACTGGATTTCCTGCACCTACATTGTTGATTTGTACATGAGCAGTAAATATATGCAATGTGACCCAGAAGCATCTGAGATGATAAATGTCTAGACAGCATCTTCTGGTTTTCCACACTATTCTATACTTCTAGGCAATGATAAACAAAAACAAAAATACCCAAAGCAGAGATTGTTTGGGAACCTGGACATACAGCAGGTGTGTGCACACAGCACAGCCTGTGAGGCCCTGAGAGCTGTTGCTATTACTATCACAGAGTGATACCAGAGTAAATTAAACTTAAAACCCCCTTAGATCAGAAAATTGAACAAGCATGTGTTTATATAAATTGAAACCAGATTAGACAAGTCTACCAACAAGACATTTCTTGATGAACCTGGGCACCTTGGCAGAAGTTATGAGCTAAGGAGTATTTCAAACATGTCAAGCAAGTAAAAGAGGAGAATCCCTTTTCTCTGACTGCAGTAGCCCTTCACAGGCTCTCTAATATAAATTCAACTGCCACCCTACCCTCTGACTGATGACAAGGAAGCTTGCTTGCCTGCCCTAACCAAAGTTGATAAGCCTGTCAGAAAATCCAAGGAAAAGATATGCTGAGCAGTTCAGAAGTGCAAGGTCAGTCTTCAGGTTTGAGATAAATGTTATGAATGAGCAGGAAGCTAATGAAATGGAGATCTGAAAAAACACTGACCATTTCACTGCTGAATTCTTGCCAATTTACTGCCCCTATGAGATGAACATGAGCAAGGATGCCTGCTGCTGAATACAGGGTGCTCACTGAAAACACAAATCTGTACCAGCTAGAAAGAAATCTTTCTTGCTAGTTTTGGTCCAGGTCTTAGAGATATAGTGATATGCAGAGTCCAATTCTTAGAGACAAAATCCACTGTCTTTTTCAAAAAACAAGAAGCTGCAAATTCCAGAAACCTCTACTAACCTCCATCTACTGTCCTTATAACTAGGGATTACTCAGCTATTTGCTGACAAGTACTTCAAAGCTAGTTTATGTTCTGAATCAACAAATTTCATTCTGTTAAACACCTGATTTTTTTACCTTTATTATGAAACCAATAATGCTTTCAGGAAAATGCTTTTTCAAGAGCAGCTCTAGTATGGCCTTGGCTTCAGTTGACTCACAGTTTCACTGAATAATGAGGAATCACTTTCATGGTTGTGGTCCTTGGATTACATTACTAAAATTGTGACAAAAATGGTATTTTTATCTTTAATATAATTTTATATTATAAATATAATCTTTAATAACTCTACTACAAAACATGTAATCATATGTAATGCCTTTACAGCACAATGTGAAAGAGTGACAATCCTGCCCAATGGACGAGGAGTGAGAGGCTGAGACAGAACTGAGATACAGCACTAAAACAGGACTAGGATTAAAGAAGGAAAGAAGAGATTTGGCACAATTCCATTCATATACAGAGGGCAACAAATGCAGGTCTGCAGTAAATGTGGCAGAAGTTGACAGTCACGTCACCATAGTCAGAAGTAAGGCCACATACAACTTGGAACATGTCACCTCTTGTGCAGCCCTGCAGGCTTCTTTGTCCGAGGTGCAGCAACAGGCCAGGCCATCATTTGAGTAGAAACAGTGTAAATGCTTATAGAAAGTGGCAAAAAAAAGCCTCAAAATGCACAGCAGTGTAGATTTATAAAATAACATTTTAACATAGAACCATCCTGTGTCTCTGTATTGCAAACCCAAGACCTCCTTTGCCTTTTGGCAAGCAGACCATTAGTTTAGCACCTTATCTTATGCAAAGAAAAGGAATTGACAAAAGAAAGGATAACTTCTTTTGAGATACATTAAATAAGTCACTACTGAGAGTGGGAGAGTGGGAATTAAAGGGGAAGATGACTTGATTAAAAGAATAGCCTGAATCCTGCAGCTTTGTGAGCATCAAACCAAAATTTTCTAGCCAACTCCAGCAGCACAGAGCCATACAAAAATTGACTGAGGATTGCACTTCAGAGACAGATGCTTGAACTGGAGCTACGTGTAAGCCAGGTAAAAGACTCATTCACAGAACAATTCCAGCCTTGCTGAATTCTGATACTGATAGATGAGAATCTCGATCTCAAAACAGGAAGATTTCTTCAATCATCCAGCACAGAGCATGGGCTGACACCCATCATATGATCCTCTATGAATTGCTTTTTCCAATGTAACAAATCAAGTACCAAAAAAGGCATTTATAATACAAGACAGCCATCCCCATATACCATGACCTTGATATTCCTTTGGGAATTCTCTCATTAAGCAGAAGTTCACAGACCAAGTAATCAAGCATTGCCTCAAGAATTTTTTGTTTTCATTTCCAGATTTACATAAAAAATCTTAATTCCCAATATTTCGGCCATTCAATAGAAGGAGTCATAAATATAAAATAATTCAATAGGGAGTCTTAAGGCATCTTTCTGATTCTTGTTCTGAGGATAGAAAACAGAGCAACTGAAGTAATGAATGACTAAATTATTCATAAAAGGTTTGAAGATGGAATCTTCTATCAGTTGTGACTGGAAAATTCTGAAGTATTATCAAATTGCTCTACAAAATAAAACACAAACTTTAACTACAGGCATTAAACTATGCACACAATGCTAGATGAGGCACCGCCCTGGAAGTCATTCAGAGTGGAGTTCTGGGCATTAGTGGTGGAGTCTGCAGCTCTGTCTGTGAACCCATGCAAAGGTGCAAACTGAGCTGAAAAGGGAATGGAAGCTCAAGGACAGCCTGCATTCTGCTGCTCTCCCAAGCCATGTAGGAGGGGAAAGCAATTTACACCTGTTGGATAGGTTCTTTATTTGGACTAGGTAATAGCTTGCCTGGATGGGGTCCAAGAGCAGAATCACCACCACTTCTCTCAATAACTTTAAACCCCTGAGGCAAACATTGTGCTGGAACAGAAACAGGCCAGGAATTCATTTCTCACATTCCTCTTCTTGAGGCAGGATGAAAAGTAGTGACTGATGAAATAAGAACAATTTTACTTGAGCTTTCCAAACCCCATTACAATCTTTCTATTGAAGGACCCATTTGGGAAAGGATCACCATTCAAGATCACATGCCTTTTGCACTGTTTCTGCCTCTCTCACTTCCCTCCATATTCCAGTAGCATTCAGGCACCAGTAATAAACATTTTCATGTACATAGTGCTTTCCAGAGCTAAATTCATGTCTTGGAGAAGCTCTGCTTTATTATCCTGTTTTAGAAGACAAAAATGAACATTTAGGCAAAGGACTCAATATTATTTACTGGAGTGACAAAGGAAGAATTCAAATCTCCAGCAGTCTTGGGCTGTATTCCAGCCTGGCTACTGCAGCAAGTTTGCCTTATTCCTAGCTTCCAGGATTCAGACTTCTGCAAGTAAATCTTGCTGCTCTTTGAATCACAGGAAGAATGGTTTTATTGTAGAATCAGTTCTCTGCCCTGATTCCCAGGAGTGTGTAAGCCATAAGTATAAATTCCAATGCTCAAAATTAATATGGAGTATAAAGAAGACATCTGGAAAAGAAACTCTGATAAACACTGCCCTATTTTGAAACAATCTACACTTGATATTCAAGGAAAAAGCGTGAAGATGAGGACTTAGTGGAGATTTTTGCAGCATCAGGTCTAAGTTTGCATTCTGCATATATGTCTCAATGCCAGCAAACCTAAACTTACAGATGTAGGGATGGGAAATGATCAAGGAAAAATAGACATTTCTTTCTCATCCATGCCCTTATTTTATCATGAACCTGACAGCTCTGGGAACATAGCTATTTTCATAGGGCTAGTGTCTAGATCTGAGAGAAACCATTACTCAACCCTTAGAATCATAGAACTGTTCATGCTGGAAAAGATCCTCAAACCCAGCTGTTAACCTTAGCACTACCAAGTCCACCACTGAAACATGTCAGTAAGTACCACATCTACACATGTATTAAAAACCCTCAGTTGACTCCACCACCTCCCTAGGTGGCCTGTTCCAATACTTGACAACCCTTTTGGTGAACAATTTTTTCCTAATATCTAAGCTAAACTTCCCATGATGGAACTTGAGGTCATTTCCTCATGTCCTAGAGTTTGTTATTTGGGAGAAGAGACCAACACACACCTTGCTACAACTTCCTTGGAAGGAGCTGTACAGAGCAATATTGTGCCCCCCACTCCCCAAGACTCCTTTTCTCCAGGATAAACAACCTCAGCTCCCTCAGCTGCTTCACATAAGACTTTTGCTCCAGACCCTTTAACCAGCTCTGTTGCCCTTCTCTAGACACGCTCCTGCTTTGAGCAAGAAACCAAACACAAATTACAAATGAACAATGAGTGCATTACATTCTTCTTCACAAAGCTAGATCAGCAATTTTAACTTACCTGACTGCTGAAGAGACAGATCTTTTGTCATCTCTATGAGTGTCTGACTGAACAGGCCACAGTGACCCTCTTTTGTTGAGTGGTGACCAGTAGCTCTGTGGAGCAGCTGCATTCCCCTTTATATCTCCACTTGCCAAGTCCAGGTTTGTTAACTAAAGAGGCAAACAAAAAAAAAAAGGAAAAAACCAAAAACAAACCCAAACAAACTATCAGAGACAATTAAAAGCTAAGAGAAGAGAAAAAGGTATCACTAAGTAAATGGGATCGAGTATGTACTAAGAGAAGTGAAATTGCTAGAATATGGAAATACTCAAATACAAAAGCACTGTGCTAGTTGCCTAAAGCAGTGAGTGATGACACCAACATCCACTGTGCCTGAGATTAATTCAGTGGCCAGCATGAAAACTACAACCCTTCCATTCACAGAACAGAAGAGGACAAGGACAAAGATGAGGCAAAAATCCCAAAGTAAAAAAGTTCCTGCCATGTGAAAAATAAACTCCACGTGCATTGATCAAAATCTTATATTATACTGAACAAAGATCAGACTATCTCTCCAGTCATTGTGAGCTGTGTCAGTAAGCCAACCATACACACCTGCCCTGTCTATACAAACATACAGGCACAACCCAAAAGCATAAGTACCTTGGATACCAAAATTCAAACCAAAGCTCAACCAAACATTAAAGAAACTGCTCACACAACCACTTACAAATACTGTGTTCACACAAGTACATGCAAAAAGATCATGTTAGGTGTACATTTCCAATATCAAGCTCTAAAACCTGTAAATTTTTAAGCATATAACATGTATTCCATTTTTCTTTCTTTGAGCATTCCTCCTGCGCTGCTTATACTCTTGAACGATCAAACTCTACATGCAGACACAATCTGTTCATGTATTGAAGAAATACATAATGCAATGGATCTACTACAGCAGTATAACAGTTTATGTTTTGGGAAAAAGAAAGCAAACAAAACAATAGAAAAGTTGAAAAGCCAACTTGGCAAAGGCCTCCCAGTCAGGCTCTCACATACACCTACCTTAAATTCTATGAGTACATGCTACTTTTTAGGAGCAGCAGAAACATCAGGGTCTGCACAATGCTTAGGATCATATGGTGAACCTGACTTACCTGTATTGGCCCTCCTCCCTTCTATAGCAATTGGGCAGCATGTGTCCAATGAAACATAGGACACAGACAGAAAGAGGAGTCTAACAACTATCCCTGCACCTGCTCCAGATCTCAAATGGGATGCTTATTAAGACAAAGTGTGACTTAAGCATAGCTTAACAATGCTCTTGAACAGAATCTGTGCGCAATTACTCGAACAAGTACGTACCACCTTCACTGCAATACACTACACTCAATACTTAAAATGGGCTTGTTCAGAACTACAGCCTTCTAACTGAACTCTGCACCATAAACATTGCCATTGTCAACACAGTAGGTTGTCCCTCCTGTGTTTTAGTAGTACAAGGCACCTAAGCATTTTGTAGGTTCAGAACTCCTACTTCAAGTTCTGGACAGGATTAAATTCTAGTGGTTATACACTAGGCTTCTGCCCACTTCTCCAAAAGCACTCACTTTTAGCTCATCTCTTCTCAGGTCTATAATTTCCCATTCTTGTTCCTCATCTGTGTATTATTATTCTCACACAGTCTCAGCTCCTGCATTTCAGGTGTCATTCTCCTTGTTTTCCTCAGTAGAGTTTCATTCTCACAGACTTCCAGCACTAGCTTCCCCACTACATCTGGACCCTGACCCACATAATTTCAGGTCAGGAGTAATTACTTGATCTGTCTTTCCACACTTCCATTCTTGGGTTCTCACATGTCCTATATATCCCCATAGTTCTGGTTTTATTCTCCTCCCCAGTCCACTCCTTTTGCCAACCTCTTTGTCCATCCAGTCCTTGAATGAGGACTATTCACTGGACCCCACTTACCACACTATCACTCCACCTACTTCTGTTCTTCTGTCTGAATGGTTTTTGGTGTCCTCTCCTAAATTATGTCCAGATACAAATTTCACAGCCTCCATATCCTAGCTGTTCTCCACACCTGGCAGCTCCACACCTGGCAGAACTCCTACTAATTTGCAGTCAAGTCAGACAGGTCCCCAACCCAACATGGACGAGGTTACTGAAAATACAGAACAGAAGCTCAAGCCAAAGTACATTAGAGGTGCAAATACAGAGAAATTCAGTTTAGCATCCTCAGTGTGGAGGGAATCTTCAGGAAGCTGAGAAGGTCTAGCAGGTCTTGTTGAGTATATTACATCTAAAGCTTTTTAAACAGTTTCTCTGCAATCAAGCTTTAACAAAATTCTGAATTCCAAATTGCTATTTCAAAGCAAGAGAGATGAAGAGATTTAGAATAGAAGTTCTGTAGATATTAAAATGCACAAAATATATTTTTAATCCAGCCTTGGTTTTGGCTGGAATACTTTGCCTTGCCTGAAGTGTTCTGGAAACTGAACATTAAGCACAGAAAACATTAATTCAAATTAATAAAAGTTTCAGAACACTATAAGCAATTTAAGACAAGATCTTACAGTGGGACATTATCAGGCAAGCTTAGCAATAGGTAGTGTTACCTACCTTATACAGAGAACAGTATTAGGTGATATTTTGGTGCCTCTACCTCATCCTTAATGTTGCTTTGTTCTATAGAATTTAATTAAAACTTAAAGCCTCTTCATTGCAGTAACAGAAAGCTTCACATTGGATTTTGTTCTGATTGTGCCAGGCACTATACAAATACCTAACAATGACAGTTGCTGGTCACAAAGAATGTATTGTCTGAAAATAAGGAAGAATGGTAAATGATGCAAACACAGAAGGCAACACAGTAAATAAAATAAGTTATATACAATTCTTAGCTTGTCAGCAACAGTGATCACCATTTTGCTAACACATCCAATGTGTGAAATGAAGATTACTTCATTCAATTTTCTCTCCTCATTATCTTGATGCCAAGAACCATTTTAGTCTGACAAATTACTACCTCAATCCTACTCTATTACTGTGACATGCTTTCCTCTTTAAATATCATTGTATCATTGTATCATTGCTTATTTGAAAGCTATCTTTTTAAGCAGGTGAGCAAATAGCTTAGCACGGGTAATAGTGACATTTCACACATTCTGGATAGACAGGTGTTTAAACTACACCAGGATTAAAAACAGGCAAAGGATCCAGAAAGAGAGAGCATCAGCAAGAATATGAGGTTTAGCTGCAGCCAGGCCACCCAGACAGGCGTTACTGCTTGTTACTGTGCCATGCTTTGAGACATTTCAGCTGCTATAATTAACTGGGCAGGATGTTTGGGAGGATTACTGAGGCACCCCCAACACATCTGTGCTCAGCAGTGGCTTCATTTTCTAGTCTTCCTGTGCACCTGATGGAACTGCACTCTTCCCTTTACAGAGGCAAACACTTGGCAGCAAATCAGATGGTACTTCGGTATAAAAGGCAATGCACCTGGACCAAAAATCCTTATAGAAGAGCTTGTAGCTTCAGAAACAGTACTAATGCAGCAAAACCAAACAAAAAACCCCTGGACCTTGTAAAAGGCAAGACCATACACAGCTAATATCTCATGATAGGAGGAGTTAAAGTTTTGCGACCATTTTTAAACTGATTGGATCAGCAAAGATGTCAGAAGCTGAAAGGAAACATGCTGACTGAAGATGACCATGATATACTAAATCCCCAAAAGATCTCAAGGAAGGAAAAGAGTCCTCTTGATGTACTTCCATTCATGATGCAACATGAAAAAATGAGAGGAGGGGAGACGAACATATGGGTTCTCACAGCCATATCAATAGATGCCTGTGGTAGAAACAGTACTTATATGTACTGTTTATGTTTACTTCAATACAATGCTAATAAGCCAAAAGAAAAACTATTGCATAATGCTTAAATACTTTTCCATTTATTTTTATTTTTAAATGTTACAAGGTAAGTTAACAACTGCAATATGCTTGTCTTGCCATCTGAGACACATAAGCTTAAAATAACTGATTTCTGTGGCCATGCCTTATTCAGAGAAATTTATTTCTGAAAAAACTGAGAGCAAGGCCACAACACAATGATACCCCAAAGTGCTGAATATAGGAGTTGAGGGGTTTTTGTTAATCTGCTTTAAAAATTCAATATGAAATATGAACTCTCCAAGTACAGATAGGAATAAAAACTTCAGGATAGAATTTGCTTCCAATTAATAGCAGCCTACAGACAAAGATCCATTGTATAGTACTTCAAGAAATCACAAGAAATATTCAGAAAAAGAGCTTAATATCTTTCACTTTGGTGATCCACATTATACTAGTCCTTCAAGAGTTTCCCATTATCACATTCAATAATCTTTTTCCTACATTAAAGTTAGTATTTTCTTTTTTATCTTCTCTAATAGTTGAAATAAGCTAAAGCCATCAATTATAACAATCAGAAAAAGAAAATAATAATGAGTGTTGCAGATCAGCTTCCATGAATTCAGGAAAAGCCTCCTGAAAGTCTGAATGCTTCTCCTTGCTAGTTTGTAGGAGTCAACCAGGGTGAACAGGGACACATCACCACTAGAAGTTGTTACTCTGCCCCTCTTGGCAGGCAATAAAAAGCAACTTAAATTTTCATTACCAACATCATGAACAGCAAATCCAAAGTTTCACTGGTCAACATGTTACAACAAGCAATACACTATAAATTGCCTACTTGATCCTCTCCAGTTGGCAGTTTCAGCACTCTTCTGGCAGAGGCCAGTCATATCTTGTTGCCTAAAAAGTGGTGGAGCTTGGGGATCTACAAAGTCTAAAGATCATTTCTCTTACTTGGAGCCATACTGCATCCTCTGCACTTCACACAGCTCACATTTCCATTTGGATCTTTCTGACTTGGTGAGGAGGAAAAGGGGTCCAGAGCTCAAGATATACATATCAAGCCCAAAAGATACACCAATGATACACCTATCAACAAAGGCATACATGAATAAACTGTTTACTGAGAAACCTTTTTGTTTAAAGAAGGATTGGACAAGGATCATGATAAGATACGTGTAAGATCACTACTCCTCTGCCTTAGGATCAGATCAGAATCCTTAAATTTTGATGAGTCAGGACAAGATGATACTGTATTATGAGGTCAAAGA